AAACAATTATGATTCTTTAATTCTTTAGATAATTATTTATTATCTTTTGATCTCTTGAACCATATTTAGATATATGTTAATGTTTTTAAAGGTGTAACAAACAATAAAGGCAGGTTAATCCTTAATTTATAAAACAAACCACTAAAACTTCTTGATTAAGAAAGTTAATTACAATTATTCCTTAGAAAACAGTATCTTTTATCTTAATTAAACTATTGGCCTACGTATTTTTTTCAAGGTGTAACTAATTAACTGTTTATAGCTTTATGTAAGTAATATCAGAGAAAACTTCAAAAGATTTAAAAAAAACGGTTTGCTATAATCTCCTGATAATATTTTTAATTATTTTTGTTATTAGATAATGATAGCTATTTATTGTGAGATATTTATAAGGAAGTGGCTAGCCGTACGGGCCCGTACGGCTAGCCAAAAGTTCTAGCTGTACGTGAGTCACGTACGACTAGCCTGGACACACTGTACTGGCTAGCCGTACGGCACTTTTCAAAATTATATGGAAGTCGAAAATGCATATGTTATTTTGTGTCTTTAAACGACTATTTTAATCAAATCTCCGCATTTGTCCTAGTACATGTGTTCACCTTAATAAAGATGCTCCGCAATTTTGCAAAAAAAAAAAAAAAAAAAAATGAATACGAATACAGTATGTAAGCGTTGTATAGGCTATCTTAATGAAATTAAGTGTCAAAGTTGCATGTTATAACGTCCTTAATTTTATGATTTGTATGAAAGATGAAATGTTAAATCTGTTAATTAAGCACATGGATCGAATAAATAATGATCGGAGGGGAATAATAAGAATATAAGAAAAACGGTGAAAAGGAAAAAATAATTTTAATAATGCAAACTTTCCTTAATGATGGACGATGGACAAACTTCTATACCGTCGGTAATTGACACAATTATCAGAGCCCAACAACAATTTTTTTCGGTGTTTATTGTTTTGTTTTGTTTTTCAATTTAAAAATTAAACTTAATGAAACAAAAAAGGATTATTATCAAAATTTTGTAAACTATTTCAATTGATGTTATTTAACTGCATCCAAACGCTATTTTTTCTCGACCTCTTGAGATGACAATTAAAGTACGAACATTAATTCTTTACTGAAGCCAACACGTTGATTAATCTATAAAAAAAGTAAACATTCTTGACTAAAATCCTCGCTTAAAGTCATAATAAACATATGTACTTTCGCCTTCCATAAATTTTTGAAAAGTGCCGTACGGCTAGCCAATACAGTGTGTCCTGGCTAGACGTACGTGACTCACGTACGGCTAGAACTTTTGGCTAGCCGTACGGGCCCGTACGGCTAGCCACTTCCTATTTATAAACATTGAAGTTAACATTAAATGCAACAAGTATCTAATTGTTAATGGTTTTGGTAAAAAATTAATCTTTTACGCAAAATATATATGAGTTATCGTAATCTTTCAAGGTACTTGGAAATTGGCGTTCTACTTCATGAAAATTGTCATTTATGATTATTTATATAACCAGGGCTCATCCGGAAGGGCGATTCAGGCGAAAACTTCGCCGTGTATATTCCAATTTCGCTCTTCCGATTGATCAAAGAGAAGTCAACATCGCCGATAAAATCTTAATTCCCAAATAGTAATTACTTAGCGATGTAAAGAGCAGAGATTGTATCCGCCCATATGACGACCGCTAATTATCATTATCCAATCAGAGCGTCGCTTTATACTACCCTTCACCTGTAAGCGAAGCGATAGACCGCCTACTCTAAACAATAAATAATGAGAGCATCGGCCCGAAACGGTATAATTGTGTGATAGTTTTGCGAGTTTAATACGGGATTTGGCGATAATTATACATTGTTTTTTCCCCGATTATCTAAACACGTGCAATCTTCCCTAATTGATATACACGATGCACTTCGATGGTGGGTTTTTAACCCGAGTAAAGTCGATGTGCAATGGATTTTTCACGGCTATCACAAAACTGTTAGTCAATTAAAAATAATCAATTTCATTAATGATCAGCGACCGGATTAAAAACTTAATCATAGTTTTGAATGATTTCAGTCTGTTAACATCAATTTTTACTGTAAAATTGTTATGTCGCTCACGTCATGGCTACAAGGCGAAATGCCGAAACCGAGCAGTAAGAAAGTTGCTGATTCTGATAGTTACACCTACGAAAGCCAATTCGCAAAAATCTTGCGATTGGTATGTTGTAGACAGTGGGGGTGTTAGGCATTGTTCTCTTTGTAGAAATGCCAAATTTGACACAGTTTACGCACGTGGGCAAGACATCCGGGCTAAACTACATATCGGTCGTATATCATGTAATGTATATATTAAACAACAAAATTTGTCAGGAAAGAAGTGTTCTTATTGTTTCAATATATATATTTGTTTTAATGTCGTAAATATGACGCTCAGATTAAGATTTATCAATATTGTAAATTTTAAAAAGCATTTTTTATAAAGATAATTACCTAATTTAACATTTCATGAAAATAAAGGGAGGTAATTAGAAATTAATTTTCTCCAATTTCTCAGTGAAATTTTTCAATAAGAAATGAATGTATGTAATTTTAGTGATCAAATATAATGTGCACAAATGTTTGCAGTACATATTTTACATATTCTTTGATGTTTGAAAATTGTTTTATAAGCATAATTATATGCATATAAATATGACATTACAACATTCAGGACTTTGAAAGAAATTTCTGTTACCAGAACAGAAATTATTAATCATTATCCAATGTGACATCATCTTCTATTAAAGTGAGGTTAAGTATAAAATATGAAATTGATTTTATCATCATATCTTTTCTTACACATTATTATCAACAAATGTACATGAAAATATATAAACACATATTTAGAGAAAGCTTATAAATAGCTGATCAATAGATATCAAAAATAATTTTTTGTATTCATATTTGCAGCTCAAAAACATTTAGATGTCATTGCCAGATCTACTACTAATTAATCTACTTTTAATTAATACTACTATTAATTAATCTACTATTAATTAATAAACTGGAGAAATATTATAAGTGATGTTAATTGTGTTTATATTATAATTAAAGGATGTATAGCCATGCATGTTAATGCATACACATTGGGTTGTTTCCCTTCTCCCTAATTTTCGCGAGGAAGTCACTTCTCCCTAAAATTTCCCCCCAGGATGAGCCCTGATAACTATGAAATTTTGATATACCGGTTTAAAACACAGTACTTATTCTGGGGCCGATTTGGTAAAGGGCCGAAACGTCTGGGGCCGAAACGTCTTGGGTAATTTGGGGCCGATATGTCTTGGGGCCGAAACGTGAGAATAGTCTGTGGTAGACAGACGTTTCACTATTGAGACGGTTCACACCAAGACGGTTCACACCAAGACGTTTCACTCCCAAATGGGAGTGAAACGTCTTGAAGACATTTCACTCCCATTTTATACCAAAATTATTTTGATACGTATGATATACTACAATAGACCTTAATTTTACCTGGGATGTACTATAACGTATCGTATGTTCCAGATTTTACTAAAAAATAAAAGTTTGTACGTCATTATTGTTAAAGTTTTATTTTTTACTTTTTTACTTGATTAGAGATGTCTTTGATCTGATATCTTTTCAGATATTTATTCTTATTTAGGGAAGGATATCATATATGACCGGATATAATTGTATGAAAGTTGCAGTTCATTAAAGATTTTAATGATTATAATTTATAAGTGGTTATCTTTGCATTAATTAAGTATATTTTTATATCAATAAGTAAAAAAAAATCTGTAGATAATCTTACATAATATATTAAATATGATTATCTGATTAAATATTCCTTTATTTTTGTTATAATTTATAACCAAAACTTATGGAGGAGTTTCTGTTTCCATGACTTTGGTTTTAATTGGCTGAACATTGTCTAAAAATATTTCAATGGTCCAATAAACAACTAATTAATAACTGTTGGTGCTAAAGTGCAATGTTTATACAACTAATTTAAAAGTGATGTCAAACTGTTAATTGGTGGTCTCAGTGTTTATACAACTAATTAGGTGATTAGATTACTGTTAACACCACAATTACCTAAGTTTGTTTAATGGCTACTGTTCAATAAATTGATTAAGAAATAATTTAAAAGAATAATTAATTTTATGCACATTTTCTGCATTTCATTGACAAATATATTTACAAAAAAACTAATAAATATATTTTATATATTGATATTATTTAATTACTGTACTGGTAGTGGTTTCAATATTCAAACTAGTTCTTACAATGTGTCTTTGTTGTTCATGAACATTTTCATTTCATTATTCTATTATCTTTCTTGATTTATTATAAATAGAATTTTCTTGTGTTGTTACTCTTATAATAAAAACGATATTTCAGACATTTGTCTTTCATTTATACCTCTTATCATTTAACCCATAGTTAAATGAATATAATGATAATCTTCTAATAATTCATCATAATTACGTCCTCATTGAAACCAATATTTTTACTCCTAATAATTAACAGGAATTCTTCAAAACACTGTTTAAACGGAACAAAATTCACTTTTCTGAGCTGATACTATAGGCCTACTGTATCTATATAGATCATAATTATTTACACATTCTGTTATATTTCAGAAAAATTATACTTTTAGGCCTATAATTATTCTTCAAATTCATAAATTCTTCTTAACAATACTCTCAAATTCAACAAAATGAATCATTAAATTGAATTTCCCCTTCATAATGAAAATGAATTTTCTTAATAAAAACATCTAAAAAATGGGAGTGAAACGTCCATACAATTGACAAAATGGGAGTGAAACGTCTAGGTGTGAACCGTCTTGGGAGTGAAACGTCTCAATAGTGAAATGTCTTGGGAGTGAAATGTCTGACATTCATAGTCTGTCATAGTTTCTTGAATTTGACTATTCTCTACATATTTTCACACGCAAATTATAATCGGTAGGTTATTCTAAAATTATGAAATTTTCTCATCATAGAATACCTAGTAATGTTCCTATTACACGCCTTGCATCTTCGTTCCGACGCTCATACGAATCAACAATGGTAAATAACACTACTGGATGAATCCGACACACGAGATTTACAGCCATTTTGGAAGTGAAAGACCGGCTAATGATATGATTGGATAAAATAAAATAAATATTGGAATAAAAATATAAGTTTCTAAATTACTTGATTAATATATTCGTGAAATAAGAGAAAGTCGGTTGAACTAAAATACTGACTTTGGTTTCTTTAGTAGATCTATATTATCGTATTTAGTATTTATTTCATTTTCGACTTCCGGTTTGACTAACCAACAACAACAACAACACATTTTGTTTTTTCTTCAACATGAATTATTGCCGTATTATTTCTTGACATTTATGTGAGGACGCCGACACAATCTGGTAATAACAAGGCCGTCGTCGATGGTCCGGCCGGTCCGGCCTTGGCCTGACCAATATTTTGGCCAAAAATGAGTAAAAAAAAAAACACAAGAAAACAAAAAAAAAAAAAAAAAAAAAAAAAAAAAACGCATCGCTGATAAGCAATTTGACCCTTAACTGCAATACGCGGTAACATACAAACATGACGCGAAGAAACAAACTGGACACCCCCAGTCACTCAGTCAGTTTTAAGTTTATTTATACTCGCGCCGGACCGCCGCGCCGGAATAACCATATGTCCGAGATTATAGCATCCTTGCCGGTCCACTATGGTAGTCTCATCGGGGACGTCTTTGTCAAGCTGAATCTTCCTGGTAGCCCATTCTTCGTTCGTTGGTGGTAGAGGAGACGACACTACTGTCAAGGCATCATATTCCTGACTGACGATAACAAAAACGGCTCTCATTAGCGCCAACCCTCCAGAGTGAGTCACGACAGGTTAACCAATCACCTCTGGTACTTAAGATGACTTGACCTTGACCTGCCGTGTGCCTTCTCCGCGACGTGCACGCCTCTGGAGGGATTTGGAGAAGAACTGGACACTGTTAATTGACCAGGTATATATGTAGGGGGACATCGACGTGGCTTCGGACAGTTCACCGTATATATTATGAATATCTTAAACTAGTATGCATGAATTCTCCGAGAACTTGATAACATTTTATTGATTGTACACGGTAACCATTCAAAAGTCATATTTTTATCACATATCCGTGCCGTTTTTGCGACTCCGTGAAATGGAATTGCACGGCCGTGCATGTATTTTGACGTCATTTGCGTTATACACAATAAATGTTAGCGTTTTTCTATGGGCGTCAATGAAAAATGGTTCTTTTTCACTTCAAAAGGTACTTATTTTTGGTATGTAATAAACAGAATATTAAATTCGTGTAAGTTCATTACTGAATTTATTGAACTCGATGAATAAAATATTATACTCGACAGAGGTCCGCATAATATATTTTCATTCAACTTCTGAAATAAATTCAGAAAAAAACAAGGGCATGTTCCGGCCTTAGTACTTTGAAGAAATCGATCTTGCCATGGCCAGTGTTACAACCGGGATATCGCGTACTTCAAAACGTGGAGGATTTATTTATTAAGGACGCACAACCTTTGAAGACCGAGTGAGCTAGAAAACTTGGTTTTGTTTGTGATTTCTATGGCAACGATATTTACCGAGACATCTTAGAAATGCAGCTTCAGCTGCTACGTTCACATTTGACAAATCAGAAAATAGTACTGTTACTCTACCTGACGCTTTGAAATTTGTGTCAAAACAGTCGGTGCTAGAACGAGCACTGTTCTCTGTTATAGATTTTGTTAGTAATGCCTGCTACTATAATGCTACCAGTGAAAGGACATTCTCGGCGCTCAGAAGAATAAAAACATACCTGAGATCGACAATGTCTGAAGTACGCTTAGGCGCTCAGAAGAATAAAAACATACCTGAGATCGACAATGTCTGAAGTACGCTTAAACAAACTAATGGTGACTCTTTATGTACTATTCTTCCATCATGGCATCGATTGTTAATTGTGTGATTTATGTTAAACAATAATCCACGCATTGTAATATTCCTTGCATTTGTTTTACAATAATTATCAGATAAAAATGTATTTAAAGAATTATAACAACATCAGTTATTGTTTATGTTTCATTTGCCAAATATCAATAATATTTATTCATCTTTTATGTACACCTGCCCGTCCGTTATGCAAAACTTAAATTTCACCACTTAAATCTGTAAAAAATGGCTGACATTTTACTATAAAGTGTACTAGCGACAGGTTGTAAACTGTGCCAAATATACGGTAAAACGCCCCTGAGAGCATCCTAGAATACAAAATTTTCCGGGGGAGCATGCCCCCGTACCCCCCTAGATTCTGCCTAAAACATACCAAATTGGCCGCACCAATCACAAAATCGTGACGACGGGCCTGAATAACTGATACTGATACATGAAGCGACGTACAACAGACACTTCACCATCCCATTGACTTAGCAATAGCACTAGCAGTCCAGACACTTCACCCTTCTTTTTACTGTTTAATAAAATTTGATCATTGAGACTCTTACGCCCCCATTGGTTTTGTGTTTTAGGCACAATATGAAAGTAGGCAAAGCCTATAACGGGAAATTAGATAAAACATTATTTTATTTTTCGTTCAGTATTTCATGTACTTTTGACCTAAAATGTGTTTAACATTGTTATTTATGCAATAAAATATCAACATACTAAAAAAAAATTATAATGTTATATTAATTTGAAAAAGGCAAAGCCTCAAAGCGAGCTCGATGTACTTTTAACGTGAAATAGTATGAAATAATCGCTCATTTTTATTTCAAATGCAGTGACGAGTGCGTGTGATGTTACACGTACTGCAGTCTTTCCGAAAGACCGTCGGATCGTCGGCCCTGACCGGTAAAAAATCAGAAGGTCCGATAAAAATATGTGTATTGACGGCCCAACGGTCGGGTAAAAAATTAAGGTTTTATAAAAACCTTACATTCAACATTTTGCAAAGGCCGATAATTTACCTAAATTCAAAACATATCAAAATGTTGTCATTACACAATATAAGCTCGTGCAATGCTTGTCAACTGTTATGATATCCATTCTCATAATGCAAACTTTTATGTAACAACGTAAGATAAAAACATCCGACAACTAGTACAATTAAAAGTCAATAAGCGGCCGCGTAAATTACATAAGCGGCCCAGATGTGAAAGGTCACCCGCTATTAGTTTGTTTACACAGAAAAAAGTGTCAGAGTATTAATTGGAACAATTTACGTCTTTAATCCACAGACTTAGAGTAATGCTAAATTACACGTGTGCTCAACTGGTGTTTAGCAGCGAATTTGAGATATGAAAGATCGTCCAAGATGTTGACAAAAATTAAACTATACTGTGAAGGTGCCAAAATCATTGAACAATTAATCTGTCAACTTCACTAAATTACCGATATATATATAATTCTGTTTACATATGCCAGACTTACCCTCTCATTTTGCCAGTATATAGTCTGTATGGAATTAAAGTTTAAATAGCAAAATCCATTGAATACATGTATAACAATATTTGTGTTTACATTTTGATTGTGGTGAAAAAAGATAACTTCACTTCGTTGATAATATAATTTTCTTTTTGTACACAAAATTTTTTGACTGCTGACACTTATCAAGTGACTCAAAATGCTATACTTATCATGTTTTTTTCGGTCCAGTAAAATCATGTTTGGTCCAGGAAAATTTTCAGTTTACAGGACCTACTGTCCAGTAAAACTCAGAAAACTTTCGCATAGACTGGTACTGTGTTAAATATGGCTCCGCTCCTGTTGTTAAATGAATAACGAGTTTTGAAAACGTTGATAAAACTTTGTTTATTTTATTTCACTCTATAATTTTTCAAGCGTAATAAAGATTATTAAAAGTGAAATAAATGTAAAACTTAAAACGTTTGCGACATTAAAATAGCGTACTTAATTTGTTTGTTTTGCACGTGCTGTTTGGCGCTACATTGTGACGTCACGTAAACAATACTTTAAATGTCTGTACAGCGTTAACGACTGAATAAAAGATATTGGTGTTCGATTCATTTTCTTAGTTAGACCATTTTCTTTCATTCTAGATAGTTTTCACAACAAAATTCGACAAAAAATTGTTTTAATTTATCAGATTTTTCAAACAAAATGGCGCCTTCAATTTTCATTTTACATTTCCGTTCGATATTTTATCGACAGCTTCCGTTATTCTGGTTTCCTGTCCAATTATGGTTCCCATAGACGTGCGCGGGTGACCAGTCTACACATCCGTTTTCAGTCAGAATTCCTCAGTTTTTATCGTTATCTTTAAATTCGAAAGGTTGCGATGTGTCCAATTCGGTACTTCGAACGAAAGTTTTCAAAACCATCAGTTAGCAGGTACTCGCGTTACCGTAAAGCTCGCTTTGCGAGCAGGCCCTTTGGGCCAGCTCTTCGAGCTCGCTATTATATAAACAGCGGCGATATCAAATGTTTGTTCATGTCTTTTTGCCTTGTAAACCCTAAAAAGGGAAATTTCTCTGGGATAACGGTTCTCCAAGGAGTTTTAAATTTTGTAGAATGTGGCTAGGTTTGTTTTGGGGGAAGTGTCTCGAAGATTTCTTTGCAGATTTTATAAGCATTTTCAGTAATTTTCAACAATAGTGCTGTGGGCAACGTCCCTGAGACAAAGACTGGTTTATATATACACAGCTGCGATATAAAATATTAGATCATTTATTTGCTTTATTAAGGGAATTTTTCTCTGGAAGAGGGTTTTCTGAGGGGGGGGGGGGGGGGCGTTTTATTTTATAAAATGGGGCTTGTTTGTTTTGAGGGAAGTGTATAAATGATTTTTATTGACAATTATATGTGTTTGCTGTGGGCAACGCCTCGGGGTCAAAGACTGGATTATATATATATGGCGACATTACGTTTACATGTACAATAATTTTCTTTGCATTGTAAAAGGAAGTAAAGTTTTCTAGATGTTTTTGATATAAGGCCGTCCTTAAAAAATGTTTGTTTGCAGTAACCCGACCCAGAATTTTCAAGGTGGGTAGGTAGGTTGATTTTTTTTTTTATTGAACTGTACTCCCAAATAAACATGGAATTTCAAAATGCTGGACAATATATGCTTTGATAATCTGGTAACAATTAATAAATTGATAACTGAATTCTAATTTAATAAGAACTACATTTTATTTCTTCTATTAACCTTTAAAAGAACGAGAACAAAGCACAAGGCATAATTTTCTGATTCAAAAAATTTTTTTTCATGGTCTGGATAAAAAAAAAATTTTTTTGAATCAGAAAATTATTTTATCCAGACCATGAAAAAAAATTTGAGTAGGGGCAAATTTTGTGAGTCAGTCGCGTTGCTGCAAACAAACATTTTTTTAAGAATGGCCTAAAGATACACATTGAAAATATTAATTGTTTTAATGTTTTTACATTAAATCTGTGAAATATTATATATGGAACCTTATTCATTAACAGTTTGATATATTCTTTACTGAATGAACTGAATTGGATTATCATTTTTGCATTCATTTGGTTGAAAATTATATATGAAAATACATTGTAAAATATATTAAAAATCAGATGTGCTCTTTACGAAATGAACTGAATTTGGAACTTATTATATTATTATTATCATCATCATTATTATTGTTATTATTATTGTTATTATTATTATTATTATTATTATTATTATTATTATTATTATTATTATTATTAATAGCAAATCTGTGACTTGGAAGTGATTCTGCAGAAATAATATTGAAATAGAAAGTTTATTAAAAATGAAGAAACAGTTTTAGGTTAGTATCTTAGTTGAAACATTTATAATTCCAGATCTAGTTTGAGGAATGGATTCTTTGAAATGGCAGCCGGGGCAGGTGCTGAAGATGGAGAAATTAGAGAGGTGTTTACTGGGATCAGATGAGATTCAAGTACCTGAGTGTCTGTTAGAACAAGTAAATATAATTTCCGAAATCATGTCTGCTGGAACAAATAAATGTTATCCTTAGAATAAAGAATCAGCTGTAATGGTATTGAAAAAAAGAAAGAAATTTCTGATTTACACAATAATAAATCATCTACTTCATCCTTTAGATTTGCTAACTAATTTGATAAGGTTTTTATACAAAGTGAGATGTTTGTAAAATATTTGTAGTAATAATGAATACAGAATAAAACTGGTAAGGTAATCAAAGAGTAATATGTATAGCAGATATAAATAAATAATTCCTAAAAAATAAAATTTGATAAAAAAAATCAACAATTGTAATTTGATCATCTGCTAGGTGTATAAGTAAAATTAACTATACAGTTAAGTATTTAAGGAGAATTCTTGCCTCTGGTCAAATTTTTTTTACTTATGTTGGTAGTATCAACAACTGTCTTTCTATTTCAGAAACATATATTTCACAGTGTAATGAGTCAGGAAACATGGAACAAAGTCCTTACTGAATCTCAGAGACAACATCTCATGGTAGGTTGGCAGCATTTTAGTATTTATTTATGCTTGATTATCATGCAGGTTCTTAGAAATGAAGTTAATCAAATCTCATTAAGGTCCGCCTTCTGAAACTTGCCTGTTTTCCATATGAGGAAACATGGTTGTGAACTTAGAAGGACTTGAATTTCACAATACATGTGTTGAGAATAAGACAATTTAACCACTTAACCACCTCTTGAGACATCTTAATCATTATGACACAGCCTAAAAGCAATGTTTTAATTATCCCCCGCCGAAAAATTTCGGCGGAGGATACAGAAATAGTCTCCGTCCGTCCGACCTTCCGTCTGTCCGTCCGTCCGTCCTTCCGTCCGACATTTTTGTCCGGAGCATAATTATCTCTAAAAGTATTTGAGTTATCAACTTGAAACTTCATAGGTGGATAGATCTCATTGAGGAGGTGTGCAGTGCACAAGAATGATAACTCTACCTTGCATGATTTTTGAGTTATTGCCCTTTGTTATTTTTCAAAATTGATTTTTGTCCAGAGCATAACTCCAAAAGCCTATGAGATATTAACATGAAACTTCATAGGTGCATAGATCTCACTCAGGAGGTGTGCAGTGCACAAGAATGATTACTCTACCTTTCATAATTTTTGAGTTATTGCCCTTTGTTATTTTTCATACCTAATTTTTCACCTGAGTGGAGCATAACTCAAAAAGTGTTTGAGATATCAACATGAAATGTCATAGGTGGATAGATCTTATTGAGAAGGAATGTTGTGCACAAGAATGATAACTCTTCCCTATACAATTTTTGAGTTATTGCCCTTTTTCTTCATGCTATTTTGTCCAGAGCTTATCTCAAAAAGTATTTGAGGTATCAACTTGAAACTTCAAAGGTGGATGGATCTCATTGAGGAGGAGTGCAGTGCTTAAGAATGATAACTCTACCCTGCATCATTTTTAAGTTATTGCCCTTTGTTATTTTTCAAAAATTAATTTTTGTCCAGAGCATAACTCAAAAAGCTTTTGAGAAATCAACATGAACTTTCAAAGGTGCATAGATCTCATTCAGGAGGTGTGCAGTGCACAAGAATGATAACTCTACCTTTTATAATTTTTGAGTTATTGCCCTTTGTTCTTTTTCATACTTAATTTTTCTATTCAATTTTTTTCTCAAAAAGTATTTGAGGTATCAACTTGAAACTTAATAGGTGGATAGATTTTACTGAGGAGGGATGCAGCACACAAGAATGATAACCTACCCTGCATTATTTTTCAGTAATTGCCCTTTGTTATTTTCAGCCATCAGTATTCACATAGGTTTCAAATCTGTAATCACTATAGCCATCAGTTTTCATTACCAAAAGACCTCTTAAAATGGAATTATTCCCCTCTACTACATATACATTCTTCCAATGAGCAAACACATTCGGCGGGGGATGGCCATGTTGACATGGCTCTTGTTGATCTTATTGTAATTGTTTTTACTCTTTTTTTATCTTTTCTTAAACTTAATAATATACATGTATTCACACCCAGAGGTGCTAATGTGTTTCTATTTATTGTACCTAGGTGAATAAGGTGATAAAGGTACTGCTTCTGTTTGGATTGGATTATTTCTCAATGAAGTGGTCAACCTTCTTTAAAGTTTGTTACAATTTACAAAACTCTACTCTGTACTCTTTTAAAGTTTAATATATAATTCAATATAGTTTTTTGCACCACTTTACATTAGAAAGTCTTGTCTTTTGATTTCAGACATTTTTACCAAAATTTCCAGAGAAAGAAAATGAGGAAAGGAGGGATACCCTAAGGTAATTACAGCTAAATTATATCAAGTCTTACTATTGTAAAATCAGATGTTTTTGCAAGGTCAAAATTTTGCAGAATGAACATTTGGGATTGATAAGCAAGGCTATATATTTGGTAGTTATTACATCATTTGTTAACCAGGTTTTCCGAAGGAAAAAACTGGTTATTAGATTGAGGTATGTCGGCGGGCGGATGGGCGGGCGGGCGGGCGTAAACAATTTCTTCTGTGCGCAACTCCTCCTACATATCTCAATCGATTTTGACCAAACTTTCACAGAAGCTTTGTCATCAAGTGCCCTGGCGCATATTGTCGGGGTTTTGCCATTGGATAATATTTGACCTAATTATGGCCCTTTGTTGTTTTTTCTTATATAGAATATATAGTGAACAATTTCTTCTGTGCGCAACTCCTCCTACATTTATCAACAGATTTTGACCAAACTTTTACAGAAGCTTTGTTATCAAGTGCCCTGGCACATATTGTCGGGGTTTTGCGATTGGATAATATTTGACCTAATTATGGCCCTTTGTTTTTTTTATATAGAATATATAGTGAACAATTTCTTCTGTGCGCGATTCCTCTTACATTTTTCAACGGATTTTGACCAAACTTTCTCAGAAGCTTTGTTATCAAGTGCCCTGGCACATATTATCGGGGTTTTGTGATTGGATAATATTTGACGTAATTATGACCCTTTGTTTTTTTTTCCTTATATAGAATATATAGTGAACAATTTCTACAGTGCGCAACTTCTCCTACATTTCTCAACAGATTTTGACCAAACTTTCACAGAAGCTTTGTTATCAAGTGCCCTTGCGCATATTGTCGGGGTTTTGTGATTTGATAATATTTGACCTAATTATGCCCCTTTGTTTTTTTTTCCTCAATATATAATGATCAAATTCTTCTGTGCTGAACTAGTCCTACATTTCTCAACAGATTTTGTTCAAACTTTCACAGAAGCCATATCATCAAGTGCCCTGGCGCATATTGTAGAGGTTTTGTGATTGGATAATTTTTGACCTAATTACGGCCCTTTGTTTTTTTTTCCTTATACAGAATATATTTTTTCCTTATACAGAATATATAGTGAACACTTCTTCTGTGGCAATTCCTCCTACATTATTCATGTTTTACATTGCACATAGTTACATTGTTTATTGCTTGTATTTGTAATTCAAATACAACATATTTATCTACAATGGAGATAATTGAAAACCTGGTTTCGTGGCATTGCCATGTTTCTTGTTAAATTGATATGATGGTTAGATAATCATACATAGCAAACATTTATATTTCAGTATAACTTTAATTTGGGACATAAGCGAAATGTAATCCTTTGCAAAAGATTTTAGTTTATAGCATTGTAGTTGTGAAAGGATAGAAAAAATATTTTTTCTGTGTAATAATTTGAATATAGGTTATTAAATTTACGTGAAATATTTTTAAAATAAGAAAGAAACCATATTACCAGTAGTTATAGAAAGATTATCAGAAATGAGCATAGGCTTGTATAATTTGTATTTACTTTAGATTTCATGTTTATATTTAATTACAAAGGATATTAAATGTTAATAGTATTGTTATTAAATAAGTATCTACAATACTTTAATTTATACATGTGTTATATAATGTACAATGAGTAAAAAGTCTACATAGCAATATTATCAAATTTATACAGCATCCTCTGATGTCATCATTATTTTTTCAGGAAACTTTTTAATGGAGACAACTTTAAATTTGGTAACCCATTACAAAAGTTCCAGTATCATCTTAAAGGTAAGTAAATCAAATCATGAACATCTCAGAATGATTTTCATAACCTATCAAGCTGACAACAACAACAAAAAAAGACAGAATTAATGTATTGTATTATTACCTAGTGTAATTATTAAATAGAATGATTTTGGGTCATCAGTAGCCATAATGGTCACTGATTTGATTCTCTGCTGACACCTGAGCAGTTAAATACTGCCAGGGACTTTGGACTCTTTCATGTGAAGAAGTTGTTCAGATAGCTCAACGAAGATTGATGGTTCTACTCAGATTCAGTTAAGTAACATAGTTATTCAGCAGGCTTACTGCCTTACCATGCCTGAAATATTTCACTGAGGGGTTATTTCACTTGTTAAAGTGGAAGTGCTCATATGACTGTTGTAATGCTTGTACAGTATGAAGCTGAATCATAACATAAAAATATAATTTAACTATTGATAAATAAGTTTAGATAAATGTTTAAACATACTTGGTAAGGTATTTCATTTCTTACATATAAAACATGTATTAAGGACTTCACCTGCTTTGAATTTTGTCAGTTATTTAAATGAGGTGTTTATAAAGATACACAGAAAAATCACACAAAAATTCAGCATGCCGCAGTCGGGACTTAAACCATGAGTCCCTAGATTGCAAATCCTTTATGCTAACCACTAGACCACATATGCCATGAAAAACAAAATACATGTACAACAATTTTAGATAATCTATGCTGTATAGTCATTGAATATGATTCTGATTCTATTTTAGATAGGGAAAATCCAATCAGTCAGTGGATATGATACTACACCCAGTTATAACTGAGCATGCGTTAATCATATTCACCTATTGAATATATTTTACTCATGCACAGTGAATTGTCTTTGCTGAATGGTTTTTGAATATAAGTCTGATTCTATTTTTAGAATTGGGAAAATCCAATTTAGCCAGTGAATATGATACTACACTCATTGAATGTGATTTTATGATCTGTTCTGTTAATTACTGTTTGAACCTGTGAGATTGCAGCTATTTTAGTTAATAAAATAAAATACGATATGTTTATACTTCAGATGGAAGCTATTCCCCAGATATTGCTAAGTACACTAGTATGATTAGGAGGATGAAGCATCAGGAGTATAGGAACAAACAGAAAAGATATTATCACAATCTGCTTAAAGAAATATTGCTTTCTAGACAGGTTCTTAATTTGTTTATGATCTCAGATTCAATGTTGATTGATAGATCCCTACTCTGACCTTTTATTGGAATGACAATAAATTTAACCACAAACATTGACATGCACTCTTTTGATGATAAAGAGGCTGTGGTGAAATTCTTATTTTATCCACTAATCTGATAATAAGAATTAGACAGGTTAGGGATCTATGCTAATAATATTGTTATAAGAAAATTGTGATCTTGAATCAGTCAGTAGTGTATATTACATTTTAGTTGTAACTGACAAAGAAAAGTAAGTTCTGGGGGCAGATTTGACTTTGGTAAGATCTTTACCATTGTTTCCTTACACCACTAATAAGTACAGTAAGCATTGCATATATGTGTAAACACAGGTTCATATGACAATTGTGTGAACAGTTACATGATTTATATTTCAGTCAAAAAGTAGATAACTAAGTAAGAATCATCATAAACATACAAAATATATAATAGTTAACAAATTTGTCACTGCTGTTAACATCTCAGCTAAAGATAAATCTCTGAGACTTGGGTGATACTTTTGTTTGATACATGTACCTTGGCTGAACATCCTCTTTGATCGAATATGTTGAACCAATTATTATAAGATTTAATATGTTTGTAAAGATTTTCTCTGAATGTTGGTGTAAAGGTGTTAAGTGCTGAAATGATGTATGTAGGGGCACCTGGAATCTTCTTCCACCAGTTAGGAAAGCTGTAAACTCTTCTTATGGTCGTTCCTGAGTAGATGTTACAACAACACATCAAAATAAAAACTCCGAGGAAATATTAAACATTTGATATACATCTAAATGTAAAAAACTCAAAGAATTAAAGATCCTGTAACACATTTTTTTATTGTTTTATATCATAAATATGATGCTCAAATTAAGATTGGTCAATTTTGTAAGTTCCAAAAAGCATTATTCATAAAGATATTACCAAATTTAACATTTCATATAAATAAAGGGAGGTAATAATAAATTATTTTCTGTTAAAGTCTAAGTAAGAAATTAATGCATATATTTTAATGATTACATATGATATGTACAAATATTTGCAGTACATATTTTACATATTCTTCGATGTTCGGAAATTGTTTTAAAAGGACAATTGAATAAAATTTCACTTAAGTGTGGTATACAACCTCAATTACAACATACAGGATCTTTAAACATTTGATATTAACAGTGTATAAAATGTTTACAGAGAGTGTTTGATCAGCTAGCAGAGCTACCACCGGATGAACCAATCAAGTTTGAGTATGAGCCTCCAAAACAAGTCAAAGAAAATCCAATTAAGCAGAGGGTACAGAGGAAATACAAAAGGTCACTTTAACATTTGAAATATGTATTTGTATTTTTTTTTACACTTGATGGGGCTATTAAGGGAAAATTTCCTGAGTGTATGATAATTTTTACACAGTAATTATGTAGGGTTTTAACATTTACATGTGTTTTGCTTGCATAACAAAAAATCCAAGATACAAAGTTCTGTTTACAAAGTAGTGTTTGTAACAGATCATTTATAATGCTTCTTAAAAATTCAGTTTTATTAATAAAGGACTTTTATGCTATGCAAGTTTCAAAACTCAACATTTTAATGAAATTTGTTCATATTTAAAGCTTATGATGGAAAAATTTGTAAAACAAGCATGCAGAATTTTCTCATTTCATCTTCATTTTGCATAAGCTTAAGTTGTTATAAACACTTTTTTAAAGCCATGGCAAGAGTAAATGTTTTCCTGAGATTATTTATGATTTATTTGAATAATTGTCTATTTTTGTTTAGGTACTTGGAAGAAGTGAGGAAGGAATCTGGAGCAGGTGATATATCTTCAGATGATGATGATGGAAGTAAGTAATGTATTGTCCTGTATTAAATATAGAACTGTCAACTGTCCATTTCAAAGAGTTCAAGGTCAAGTTATAAAGAATATGCATGTGTCAACTTACATGTATGGTATTGCATAGTAAAAAATGCAGAATGATATTGTATGGTTCATTACTGGTAACTTGAGCATGCATTTATTAATGTTAGATCTGAGTATCAACAGGTATGTGCTCTATGGATGTAAATTATGAACCGATTATCATTACTCTTTAATTGGTTACTGTTGATAGCAGTTGTGACTCTGGAAAATATTATGTTTACATATTGTAAATGTATGTTTGAAGCTATGAAGTGGGAGGGGAGTATAAATTTGTTTTTTGTTGCCATGCATGGTTGGTGAAATTTTTTCAGTAGATATTTATAAAAAAAAAAAAAAAAATTTCTATTCTTATCATTGTTTATTGTATATTCCTATTGGTTTGTTTTGAATGATCAATCAATTATATAAATGTGAAAAATGAAAGAAAAAGTACCATGATAATGTCTAAGCGAGAGTGCATTTGACCAAAATAGTTGAGCTTTTCCAAAAGCTTAACAGAGATGTAATAATGTAAAATGAAAAGGAAACTGAGTGGAAAACTAACATTTTAGAGATAGTTATTAATTCATGTTATCTAATATCAGGTCCAGTGGACAGAAGTAAACAACAGTTGTTCAAGTCCCTGAACCCAGTTCCCTCCCCAGAACCAGTGACACCTAGCGTTCATTCTACATACGCAGCTAAACTAGAATATGTAAATGGTGATTTAGGTAATATTCATATAACAAGCTATGATATATTAAAGATATATTATGCTCAAATTTGATATAAGAAAATATTGATAATTACTACACAGTCTCTTTGTAAATATAAAATAAACCTGTTTTGACTTCACACAAAGTTGATATGTAATGTTTAAAATTCTGTTACAATATGAATAGTGTCAATAAAAAACTGGCATTTTTTTAAAGAGAAGAACTTTTCTTGACATGTAATAGGGAACCCAGCTTTCCATAATTTATTCATTGTTTTTTTCAAATTAGACATATTCAGTAAGAATTTCATAGATTTCAATAAATTCCTGTGATTAGAATATTTTACTAAAGGATGAGCATAGTAAATATATCTTTAATAAAAATAATGTAATAAAAATCCATTCTTATATTATTATGTAATTGATGAATTGATAATCTATGTGTACATATTTGAGGCAATGAAAAGTGTTAAAAATATGATACATATAGACATGTATTACAAATTATTTCTCTTATGTATTTAATGTGTTGAAAATATTTTGTTATTTTACACTTTACATAGTAAACTAAAGTTTCATGCCTAGAAAAATGGGTCGTATAAATGTATGAATTATAGTGTTAATTATGTCTCCCAAAATTTTTGGGAGACATATTGTTTTAGCCGTCTGTCCGTCCGTCTGTCCGAGCAAACATTTTGGGTTTAGGGGCTATAAAACAGTAAAGAGAACAATAGGTTCATTCCGTGATCAAAGGGTTTATGGGCTAGTAGCCCTTAAGAAAACAAAGAAAATAACAAAGAAAATAGCCCCTAAACCCAAAATGTTGGAACGTCCGTCCGCCCGGTTGTCCGTCCGCACTACCGAATAGGGATAGGGGGCCATCTAACTGTAAACAGAACAAAAGAGAACAATAGAGTTCATTCCGTAACAATAGAGTAAGGGGCCATTGGCCCTCTATTAAACAATAGAAAATAACAAAAGAAATGGCCCCTTATTCCATTTCGGCCGGTTGTCCGTCCGTTCGCATTGAGCTTGTCCGCCCTTCACAGGTCAAACTACTGGTGGGATTTCAACCAAACTTTACAGGAGTGATCAGTACCATCCCTAGTTGTGCACATCACCGGCATGTTCCGCTTCGCTGCACAAAATGGCTGTCTGAGCTAAAAAATAGAAAAATCTTGTCCGCCCTTCACAGCTTAACTACTGGTGGGATTTCAACCAAACTTTACAGGAGTGATCAGTACCATCCCTAGTTGTGCACATCACCCGCATGTTCCGCTTCGCTGCACAAAATGGCCACCAGAGCTAAAAATAGAAAAATCTTGTCCGCCCTTCACAGGTCAAACTACTGGTGGGATTTCAACCAAACTTTACAGGAGTGATCAGTACCATCCCTAGTTGTGCACATCACCCGCACGTTCCGCTTCGCTGCACAAAATGGCCGCCAGAGCTAAAAATAGAAAAATCTTGTCCGCCCTTCACAGGTCAAACTACTGGTGGGATTTCAACCAAACTTTACAGGAGTGATCAGTACCATCCCTAGTTGTGCACATCACCGGCATGTTCCGCTTCGCTGCACAAAATGGCCGCCAGAGCTAAAAATAGAAAAATCTTGTCCGCCCTTCACAGGTCAAACTACTGGTGGGATTTCAACCAAACTTTACAGGAGTGATCAGTACCATCCCTAGTTGTGCACATCACCGGCATGTTCCGCTTCGCTGCACAAAATGGCCACCAGAGCTAAAAATAGAAAAATCTTGTCTGCCCTTCATAGGTCAAATTATTGGTGGGATTTCAACCAAACTTTACAGGAGTGATCAGTACCATCCCTAGTTGTGCACATATAAGACACGTTTCGCTTCGCTGCACAAAATGGCCGCCAGAGCTAAAAGTAGAAAAATCTTGTCCGCCCTTTACAGCTTAAACTACTGGTGGGATTTCAACCAAACTTTACAGGAGTGGTCAGTACCATAATTAGTTGTGCACATCAACGGCATGTTCCTCTTAGCTGCACAAAATGGCTGCCAGAGCTAAAAATAGAAAAATCTTGTCCGCCCTTCACAGCTTAAACTACTAGTGGGATTTCAACCAAACTTTACAGGAGTGATCAGTACCATTCCTTGTTGTGCACATCACTGGCATGTTCCGCTTTGCTGCACAAAATGGCCGTCTGAGCTAAAAAATAGAAAAATCTTGTCCGCCCTTCACAGCTTAACTACTGGTGGGATTTCAACCAAACTTTACAGGTGTGATCAGTACCATCCCTAGTTGTGCACATCACCGGCTTGTTCCACTTCGCTGCACAAAATGGCCACCAGAGCTAAAAATAGAAAAATCTTGTCTGCCCTTCATAGGTCAAATTATTGGTGGGATTTCAACAAAACTTTACAGGAGTGATCAGTGCCATTCCTTGTTGTGCATGTCACCTGAATGTTCTGCTTTGCTGCACAAAATGGCTGTCAGAGCTATAAATAGAACAATCTTGTTTGGCTTTCACAGGTCAAGCCAGTGGTGGGATTTCAATGAAACTTCACATGAGTGACCATACATAGTTTTTTGAGACATGTTTTTGTGACAAAAACCCTTCTAGTTAAAAGATTACAATTAAATTTTTCGCTTATTCTGTTTAGTTCTATTTACTGACCGCCAGTGCCTGAGTGTATAAGACATAGTTGTTTTAATTATTTTTCTCATCACAACATTCAGACACACCAGCTGCCACATTAAAAAGACCACGCCCTATATCTCCAGCAGAAATAACTGAGGACACCTACAGGGAAATGTTGGTCAAACACAGGAGAAGACAACTCTATGATGATTATGATGAAGAGGTAACCTCCCTTTTCATATTTCTTAATAATTGCAGATGAAATATGTTACCCTATGCTAATAAGTGTTGAGAATAACCTGTCTTGTTTAATCTCTTTCTTATAATATAAATACTTCATGATTTGGTTAATCATGTCTGCAAATGTAATTGGTAAATACACAAATACATACTTATATAGTAAATGAAGTAAATTGTTTATTATTTGTGACATTTACATAATCAATTACACAAATAACAATCATATATAAATTTTAAAGTAGCCAACTGAAATGGTTAATCTCCACAGTTTTGATTTTAGATGTAAGTACAAAAGGTAAAAATATCTACACTATTTTAGAGTTGAAGGATTCATAAAAAAGGTATAACAAATATAATAAGAGTTGAATGTTATTTTTATAGGAGCATCCTGAATACAACACACAGAATATAAGCTTACAGGACGTGATGGCCAGATGTCAGGCGAGTAGAAAAGGTGGCATAGAACCAGATGATGGTATGCTATTGTTACATTATCTCATTGTGTCACAAAGCAATATTTCATGTCATTAATGTATAGTATAGTTGATTATGTAGTTATTAGAGATACCTTGTTTGAGTTTTGATGACTTTTAATCATTTACCACTCAATGTTTTTGTTAGAAATGTAATAAAGATCTCTGAATTATTTCATGTTAGTTACCTGGCTAGCTTGTGGAAAGTTTGTGGTTCTACTGAAATGCAGGCTTATATCTACATATATAAATGGAGTAATTGTTATCTGGGATATTCTTTCATTGGGTTCAGCTTGAAAATTACCATAATACAAATAAAACTTCCTACCTTGTAAGAAAAGAACACAAACAATTGCTGGATTATCTTAACTTGCATAGTTAATATATTGAAATAATACTTTCTGTTAGTTTTCTTTGTTTTATATGTTCAAAATGTCTATTGTCATCATCTTTTTAAGGGAACATTTATTTCTCAGACTATTCCTCTGAAAAGAAGTTAGTGAAAAGTTTGAAAGCACTTAATTCTAAGTTAAACTGTACTACATATAATGGGTATTTATTGGCCGGGTTGCACAGGTACAAACCTGGGTTATACTATTGTGAATGTTTGGCTTTAGAATGTTTTTTATTTTCCTACCGTAGATGGTACATTTTCTACTGCTAAAATATTAAACAAAAATCTTTAAGAACTTGACAAATTAAACAGTCTGTTATGGTAAATGGATTTTTCTTTTTTCCAAGATGAGCTAGAGTTTTCATCAATGTCACCAGCAAAGGGGAAAATAAAAAAGGAAAAGCCAGAAAAGCGTGTACGTAAGAAAACGGCAAAGAAAATACGTGACATGGATTTCTCTGCTGCGTCATCGGCTGGGGGCATGGGAGATGAAGATGATGATGAAAGTAGAACGAATGTCAGTATTGATATAACAGAAGATGATACCAGCACTGTAGACCAGTTTCCTATACAGTAAGTTTGTGTAATGTTAATATTCTTATATCGGGGATACGATAAATAGGTCAAAAACCAGCACAATTTTAAATATATTGGTAATAAGCATTCTTGTAAAGTTTTCATGAGCTGCATGTATTGTGTTTAGTCTGTCCTAGAAGTTTGTGTTATTATACTGAGATTTTTTATTAGTAACAATTATTTTGCTAGAAAAACTGAAACATCTTTGATTATATTGAGTAAAGAAATTTTGTCATATATGGAATAAAATAGTAGTCAGTCGCTTACATTGAAATTTTAGTTATTTATTTTAACAGGGATTGTTAATTATGCTGGGTATGCCTCATACATAAATGTACAGTTTTTCTGTACATTATTACGACGAAAAGTTTTGTTCTCTTTGTATATTTGAACTGTGACTTCAAAGTCTTTTTTCACTGAAATATTATAGATTTGAATACAGCACTGTTAGAATATGGTAATAAAGTAATTGAAGTTCAATAAAGTACCAAAGTTTGCTTTGAATCATCAGTTTTATGTACGTATTTTTGTCAGGTCCAGTAAAACAAAAGATGAGTTGAGTCAATGTGCATGTTTCTTCAGCTTATTGAAAAGTATCAT